CTTTTACCAGACATAGAGACCCACCTCTCTCTTATTTACAGGTAATAAAGTTACTTTGGGACTCAGACATGTAAAAAAAAACACGGAATGAAAGAAGAGGGACATTTTACAGACAACCATGTGGTTTATGCGCGTGTCTGAGAAGCCAGAAGGACAAGTTCATCTCTCTCTATGACCTGCAGAAATTCACCTAGCCCTTTCACTTCCCAGGGTTGTATCCTAACTGTTATGCCGTAAACAAGGCTAGGATAAGAATACTTACCGCTTCCCATACGGAGGCTGTGACAGCCAAAAAATACAAGTTTTTTGAACCCCAAGAGAAAAAGATGTATAAGACTTAGTAAACCAATCAGGACAGTAATCCAGTGATGAGATATGCTCTTGGAGGAGAGCAGACATGATTTCTAGTCCTGCTTTTAACATTTTGGACCTGCCAATATCATTGAATCCAAGTATATTGGACTCACTGTACATGCACAGATCAACAGCGCATGTGCTGTAGGTCCAACAGAGAACACGACAGACTTGTTTGGCAGTTACCGTGCTGTTGATGTGCACACGTGCAGCTCTTCTTGTCCAAGGTTTTGGTTATCTGACAGCGAGAAATTACTTGGGTACCATCTGAAACAATAGCAATTACCTGTAAGAACAGCCTGTTCTGGAAGGGTTGGCAGGTGTGTTGTCTACCTATTTTAGTCCGTGAGCGATTACATTTAAAGTAGATAAAAGAGGCCTGGAAGCAAAAACTACTTACTTAGACAGGCACCTAAATCCAGCTGAACTCACACTTCAAATAACTAAATAATTTTAAGAATCTGACCCAAAAATGACTTACCAAAGCCACACAATAAGCAGTCATATCTTAGCTCTAGCCTCTCATCTTAGCCACACAACCGTCTTTCCTGATCATTTTCTGTCTATATCAATAGCCTGATTTTCAAGAAAGTAATTGTAAATTCAGAAGAATGTAAATCCAAGACTAGGCCGCAGGGCAGAAGAAAATCATGTGGTGAACAGCTCAGCAGGGTTTGGCTGTGGATTTTCATCTTTCCAGTCCTTAGCTATAATAGAAAAGTGCTACTCGTAGTACCCAACTAGCAGTTTTCGCAAAGTGTTTGGCAAACTGCAATGTTTCTTGTGTTTGTATGTTATCAAAAGAGGATCCAGTCCTGAAGCGCTTCCATACACAAGTAATAGGTTTTTCTTTCTGAGTATGCTCCCAGATGTTCTACAAGCGCGAACCACTCACATGAAGACAGTTTCGAATAAGACCCATCCCTTAAAGAGTCTGCATGTAAATCAAACACTGAAACAACCATGCAGGAATATATTTTGCCTTTCATTTTTAGTTTGTAGAGGATTTTTTAAATAAAAAAAATAAGTAATACCTTAGTTTCAGCTTCTGAAAAAGAACAGAGGCAGAGTTAAACTACATCACCTTTGCTAGCTATGGAAACATTCTGCATGTCCAGAAGAGGTAAAGGAGGTCTTTAGAAAGCGCAATGCTGATTTCAGCATGAAATCTTTTCCTGATGCCAATACCAGCACACATCAGAACTGAAAGACAAAGCCTTCTGTTAATGCAAATCTGCCAATACACATGCCTTCCCAAATTTAGCAGTAGAGAGAGCATCTTCCTGAGTTGAGTTCTGGGGCTACAGCTCCAAACTAGGGAAGGGAGAAGGATGACAACTGGCAGGAAAGGTCTGCTACTGGCCCAGATTTCTGCATCTGTGGAAGTTTGACCCTCGTTTATACCGCTGTAGCTCCTGAGAAGCAAAGAGGTATCTTAAAAAAAAAAATCAATGTTGGAAAGAAATTCCAGATGTTAAACTCACAGTATGCATAATAACTCTAATTTTATGAGCATGGGCCTGAACGCTGACAAGTTAACAGAATTATGCAGATTTGGTGCCCCCTGCTGTCTCTTCTTTTACTATCGGAATGACTGATGACAAATATTTGTAAATACTAAACCCACTGAACTGCACAGAACAATCCCAAAAGGCAAATTTCAAAATTGGAGACCCTGCTCAAAAAGACACACTTAAACTGGAGCGTGAGTTCATAAGCTGTTTTGGTGAAGTATCCAGGAGCTAAGAATAGGAGAGCTGTATATTGGTAGAATAACGATCACAAACAGGGGAAAAGCACGACAGGTATCACCACCAAAGGAAACTCTGCAGAGGCCTGAACATCGGTCAAGGAGCACGAAGGTGGCCCACAACTCTGTAGGACCCACCAAAATGAGGTGATAAAAACTCGGGAACTCAGCATGGTCTCTTTTTCCTCACTTAGCACAGGATCTGCTACATTCCTGCCTCTCACCCTCAACTACAGAATTTAAATAGAGTTCAGATACTTTAACTTTTCATTATGGTAGCACCCAGAAGCCTCATGGAATATTAGGTACCCCCTGGGTACATCTCCGTTAGCTTTTCTTTTATGTGAAACTAAACTGGAGGATGTGCTCCAGAAGCTCACCTAATACATCCCAACTGCTACACGGGACAAGCCTCGAGCAGAGTCGAAGTAAAACTCCTAAAATGCACATAGCGTGGCTGGTGGGACCTCAGCACAACCTGCTTCTCTCTACAGAGCCAGTCCTGCTGGGCCACACTGCTCGCTCACGCAGACGTACTCACTAACAGGGAGGTTCACGTGCTGAATCTCACTGCTGCCAAGAGCAGTCATCCACGCTGTCCCTCCCTATAGCTCCTCGCTTTCTATAGCTGCTCACTCCCATGCCATCCGCACCATTAGCGCCAGCAACCGTCCGGCTGCTTAACTTCTAGACTCAATTAAAAACTAAGCTTTGTTTGGTTTTCAGCTGGATCAATTTACTGCATGGCCACGTGACTGCTTGCTCAGAGGTAGGCACGGGGAGGACTGGCCCTCTTGGCAGCAGTGCCTGGATTGGCTGAAGCTAATCGCGAAACTTCTGCCCTAAATCAAATAAGGGCGTGAGGTGCCAACAGGTGCCATGGCTTGTCCAAACTGATAGAGCAAATTTCTAGCACAGCTGGGTTGAAATCACAGTATAATCAATGGCGCAGACTTTATATCCCTAACTTTTTAAGTTCTCCATCTCTTGCTCTTCCCCTTCCCTGTCCTTCCCCAGGTATACTACGCGCTGGCAGTGATGACGAAGCAATGCTACAGTGCTCATGTGGGCCTCTGCAGGGCAGCAGATAAGCCTCTGGAGGAAGTATGTCCATTTAGATGGTTTCCTACTGTCAACCAACAGAATAATTCTGTGTGTTTATTCTCAAAGATAGTTCTTTACACAGGCCTTTGCTCAGCAATGCCAGCAATGAATTGATCAGTTAGTTACTTCTGCCCTTTGGCATCTGTGCCTGAAGATGGAAAAAAAACCCACAAAAATTCCATTGACCAGGAACAGCCCTACCCTGCAGACACGATGGCATTTTAATTATTGAGAGCAGTACCTGTATGCTGTGGCAATTTCCATTCTGGAAGTATTTACAGTCCACAAGATGTTTTCTTGGTTAATAATGAGTTCATCATTCCAAAATTCTGTCAAAAACATGTTCCATTTTTTCTTAGCTGAGTTTTCTGAGCTCACAAATTACAACTCTTGCGTGTGAGTAATACAGTTCTCCGAACTTCCTGAATCGGTTTGGTACTGGTTCAACCGTGTTTGTTTACAGCTGTAAATTAACACCCACCCTTATTCACGGCATAGTGACCAAGACTTGTTCTGAACACGTGAATTTCTTTTTGCCAAAATAACTACATTGAAAACGTTGGTGCTAAGAAGGTGGTGTGCTGTATGTCAAAAGGATGTGCAGCAGAGGATACTTCCTAATTTCACAGTCGACTCAGGTTTGAAGACCTTTAGGGCTGACATTGAAACTACATGTTGCTGAAGGCTCTGGAAAGGCTTTCTGGTGAACACCATGAAATTTCTGTCATTGGTAGGCTCTGGGGAGGTTTTTCAACCTCAGGAGAATGAATTTATCCAGCTCCTCTGACAGTTGTTTATATACACATGTCCCAAACAGCCATTTTCAACTTTTGAACTCCTGTGACTTAGTGAGATGGCATGATCTGTATTATATCTGCTGTAGCCGTATTTAAACAGATATATTTTAAAAAATTTTGCTCTCATCCAGAAATTCTATTTTGTATTTCGCGTGTTTTATTTTTATACCTCGACATTCAAAACACCAGAAGGCAGGAGTTTGGCCTGATAACTATTAAATGTTGCATCCCGATACAAAGTCAGCTTGCTTGCTGTATCCTTCAGACTTGTTATTTTACTTGCTATCCAGGCTGCAGGGGCTGGAGTCTGAAAATTCTCTTCTATCTCCCCTGACAGTTGTGTAAGTCAGTAGCCTGTCCTCTTTTCACCTCTTTTCACGGTGAAACACATCCACATACAGCCATGCCAGGGGTTGTGCAAGAAGAAGATTATGAGGGTGGATCCGTTTGTTTTGATCTCCCGACAGTGCACAGCGGTTCACCCCGCGTCTCCCCGGGCTGCTGTTGCTCCAGCCCTCCCTTGCTTTTTTTTTCAGTCCTAGGCTCTCTTCTTTCACCTTTTGTTTCCTGAGCGAATTAATAAATGAATGTGTGTACCTAGCAGCCATCAATTACAAAGAGCAGGCCTTGACGCTCTCAAAAGTGAGGAGCTAATTTCTAAATAAATTAACACCAGCCCTGGAAGACCTGGTTTGTCACAAAACGGTGGCATGAAAAGAAGGATAAGCGGGTAGGTTTACGTTAGAAGGACTTATTATCGCTAGACCCCAGGGCACCAGCTAATCAGCGGGGCTGCAGCTCTATTGGAAAAAATTGTATTATATGATATTTATGTCTGTATGCGAAACATTTGGTCATCGGGGAGACTTCCTGAGCCACTGGTCTGTTACAGCATGGCAATTAATAAAAATTACCAGGAGATTCACGTCCAGCACATGCCAGGCCCCACTACACATGAAAGGATAAAATACACACACTAGTCATGCTCTTCCAACCATATAGCCCTTCCTCTTCCCAACACCTGAACTAAGGCAAATATCAACATATACGTCCGACTTCTTTCTCCCCTCGGCATATTCCTTTTCCTGTAATTCAAACACTTCAACATATTTCTTCCGGCTAGCACATATCTGTCTCTTCTTTTCTCTAAAAACGCTAATTTGCACGTGGCGAGTTGTAGCTTTCTCCTCATAGGACAAGAACGCGCTTTCAGAACAAAGAACGCAGAACCGGGCAGCAAAATACCCAGTTCACAACGTAAGCGAAAGATACTGCGCTTACTACACTTGTTAGACACCCTGTCTAGAATGGGATGGCAGTTTGCCTGAGGCTTTGTTTATGCCGGTTGGCAAAAAGTGCTGTAAACAGAGCAGAAGACAAACCGGGTTCTAACATGTCCAGTCTGCGAGGACGAAAATTAAACCTTTGAAGGCTAAAAAAGCAGCAAAAAAACAAGTGAGAGTCTCGGTTGAACTGAGCCACCTGTAATATAAAAGAAACAAAGGCAAACAGGTGCGACCCAGAGGTAGAATTAGTCTTTTGAATATAGAATAAACATACTAAGTGAAAACTAAAATTTCTGTAGCAAACTTCCGTATTTCAGTGTTAATTTAAAGACATACAGACAAAAAGCAAAAGATGCTTTTGCCATCTGCTTCTGGATCCAGAGACTAAACTAAAAAAGTGCATATAACTATTAGGATATCAGTAAGCACCTGCATATATTCTTGCTACAACAATATTGTATCAAATACCTTTATTCTTACCAGAAGCGGAAGGACAAAAACGGTCTGCCTTTTCTACATACTGCAGTTAAGAACATCAAGTGACAGTCTGCTTGTCCGCATAGTAAACAACACATGATTTTATGAAGTATTATTTAATTTTCTTATGGTGCTCTTTTCTGCCTTTTTCCATCTGTTGTCGCTTGTGTTGTCTTTAGACTGTAAGCTTTTGGAAGTAGGATTAACTTTTCCTTTGCGTCCTTGTACAGACCAGCGCAGTAGGGTCTGAAACGAGAACTGCTAAATGTTACAGGAATCCAAGTAATTGCATATAAAAATTCCATATTTTTCATGACAACAAAGTTAGCTCCAACACTTGTGCTTGTTTTAAGGTATGCTTATCTTGAGTTCAGTATTTAACTATCTTCATTACAACAATTAACCATTTCCTTTTATGTGATCCTGTTAAATGTGAAATATCCGTGTCCATCAATGCCAAAATATTAAATGAAAATGAAAATTTAAAAATTAAATTTTGGTGTGAAAAAATTAATATTGATGTTCTTGGAAAGTAATACTGTACGCACAGCTTTTTTTTTTGCATATGTGCCCCACATTCTTGCTTCTCTCCTCGCCCAGATAAGCGTGCACTTGCTAGCATGTCTTTTTGCTCTCTTTCAGCTTGCAGTTCCCTGCATGGAAATTGGGTAGAGTAGAGATGAATAACTGGCAAGAACTGAGATGTCGTCCCAGTTCTGGAGTAGCCAGGGCACTCTAGGAGCTGAGAAGCATTGTCGAGACACACAGCATAGACATAGCTAATGCAGCCATGACGAGGGCCCTGGGCAATAGCTGATTTTGCAGCTCTGTCTAATCTGCAGTTTTCTAACCGGATGCCTTCTGATATTGCTCGTTTGGCTGTGTAACTCTTCCTACTTGTAAGAAAAAGCTTCTTTAGTTCCATGGGACATTCCGTAACAATATATATAACAACATATATAAAAGGCATAAGCTGCTTGGTCCACTACAATTAGATATTATGAATTCTGACAATATTCCTTTATTTAAAACACGCCATCTGCAGTAAATGCTATGTCCATTGATCTATAAACAATAGATATGAATTTCTCATTTCCTGGGTATATGAGGCTCTATTACTAAAGCTGCATCCCATGCGCTGTAATAAAACACACCGCATAATGTAATATTATGTTTGTGAATACCAATATGGTGTGAATAAACACAGTATATAATTTAATCAATCTTGACTATGGCATTAATGGCTAGAAGTGAATGCCTCCTAGACTATTACTAATTAAACCTTGCACCTTTATGAACAGACTGACTGAAGGATTTATCAACAATTCACACGAGGAATTTGCTCTAAGTCACACAATGAGTCAGCAGCAAACAAAGGAGGCGAAGCAAGGTCCCATTCTCTCCCAGTCTTCTGAACCAACCTCAAGCCAATGAAAATTAAAAGCCATTTCATACTTCACAGGGAAAAAAGTAACTTTCTATCAGTCACTTAGTATGCTTTATCTGAGTTATGCCCTCAGCATCACAAGAGATTAAAAAGCTTTGTATAGGTTAATTAAAAATGTATCTCTATATTTTTAAATATGGTAAGACATAAAGTCAATGGATGAAGACCTTTCATCTCCAAAAATTAGTTTATTTTCAGTATATGTACACATTACCGAGAAAAAGAGTACTATTAGTAAAAGCATACTTTAATCATGTTAACCTCAGTATTTTGTGTAGTCTTTAGGTTCACTGCAGTCATCCTGCACTACATTTTTATGGTTCTGCAAATGGCCACTGGGTGTCACAGTAATCTACAGCAAACTGTGCACTTGAAGGACTTTGCCAGCTAACTAGTTCAGTTCCTTTCAAAAATCGATTCATATTATCACAGGTAATACCAATTCCCATACCTCTACACCCATTCCAAGACGAGGAAGTGGTTTCCTCAGGAGAAAAAAAGTGTTAGTTAGAGTTAAAATATTATACAAACTGTGTTGCTCCAGAAACTATAGCAAAATGGAAATTCGGCTTTCAAATTTAGTCTAGAAGTAAGATTCAATCATACTGTGTATTTGTGAAGTATTTTCCCTGCTAGAATGGAAAAAGACAATTTTAGACTCCGTGGACTTCAGGAATAATTTCCATAGGCTTTCTCTCTCCCAAAATCCTATGATAGGAGAATCAATTTTTGAAGAAAACAATTCACTAAAAAAAAACTTCTAAACATTCTGGCAGTATACCTAACACTGTCGTGTTACATTTCAGGTCCCAGCTCTCAGGATCACGCAAACAGCAAAAGAATGTGAGTTTTCCTAGTTTTTGAGTTAGAAGTAAGTTTGTGATCTTCATCGCAGAAAAGAAAACACGACTTCAGTATAATCAGTGCCTATTCAAGTTTGCAGACAACAGCTTTAAATCATGTGAACTGCCTCTTACCTTCGGTTGTTTGCTCCAAAGGGACATGCCAGGATTATCCCCTCAAAGGACTCCGTCTGATAAGGACTGCATCCTGTGGGCCTGTTTCGTCCATGCGAGTGTATGCGGTACACCGGAAGTACGGAAGAGCTACTCCACGCATCCCGAGTGCGGACAGCTTGCATGGGCAACATTTAAAGCAGATTATTTGCAACTATGCAGAACGATGTACTACATCACTTGAGCAGAACCCTAAAGCTTCAGTGAGAATCTATATCCTCTTCAGCGGACACTTGCCAGGAAGAGCTCACCTGGCAACGGACACTCGGGAGCTGACACAGTGCACGGGTGAAGTGTGTTAGGATGAGCAGGCCAGTGCTTTTAAGTGCCGGTGGTCACTGAGACGTCTGCATGGCGCCTAGGTAATGCCTGCAGCGTGTGCGCGAAGGGTTATCCGTCTGCAATAGGTGCTGAGATCAGAGTTGGGAATTCATATGTGGAATCATGCAGGATAACAGGGCTTTGAGGATCTTTGCCGAAACCTATAAGAAGGACGAAGAAGGAGGAAGGTATTTCCTGACATGTACGGGAGTTGAGTTGAGCTTCAGAAATAGAGGAAAAAAGCAAAGCAAAGAACTAATCTAATCTCTGCAAATCATGCTTAATAGAAGCACCTACAGGTCCTGGCCACAGTTCAGGCGACTAGTTAGAGATACAGGCTGAGACATGGGCAGGTGAGACAGAAATGCCAAACAGGCACTGTCATAAGAGATGCGTAACACATGGCAGGCATCAGCCTCCCTCTTACGCAGTATGTTTGGGGCCCCAGATTGCCTTAAGCAAATCTTCCTGCCCTGCCCAGCGTTTTCCAACACATAGTTACTTACTTCTCCATCTCGGAGACTTGCTGCCTGATTAGCTAAAATGACTGTCCCAGCTGGAAATGTAAAATTTGTCTATTTTTTCCTGTAACCTATTTTCATCTAACTCCATATATACATATAAAGAGGCATATATTGTATTCACTTAAAACAACGTAAACATTTTCTAATACGTAAAAGATGGTCGCAAAGAGGAAGAGAATGAAACTGTCCTTCATGCCCAGCATGGCATGGCAAGAAGTGAAGGGTGTAAACTGCGGGTGGGAGGTTTAGATTAGACATTAGAAATGGCTCTTTACCAGTAGGCAGCCTTAAGGACTTGAACAGATTGCTTGAGGAGGTTATGAAGGATTTCAAAAACAGGTTAGACAAACATTTATCAGGAATCACATCGATTTAGCTGTTCTTGGACTGGAGCAAGGAATAGATTAGGTGATTGTTCAAAGTCCCTTCCAGCCACGTTTTCCTGTGGTTTTATGATTCAAGGAAGCCCGATGGCTTATTTTCTGCCAGAGATCAGGCTAGACTGATCATACAGATCAGTCTTAAACAAATCTCCCAATCTTAAAACAGTCCCAGCAAAAAACAAGAACTTTTTTTTTTTAATTAACATAATCCCAATTCCCTCTCTCCTTACCCAGAAAGCCCTCCTACTCTTCAACACATTCAACTGCAAAGTTGAAAAGAGCTGGTAAAATACTGAAAGCTTTGTACTAGCAGCACTGATAACACTCTGGCAAGAATACAGCAAGTGATTTGAAATCTATATTCCTTTTGAGCAAGTTCTAGCCCCTTATGCCCTTCTCTCCTCCTCCCCATCCCAACACAATATCCAATTTTCTAAATTACTGGAGCTATTATACACACTTTCATTACCATAGCAGGTGCAGTTATTTAGAGCATTAATGTCCTAGCAGTAGTGTAAGTTGGGAGTGACCCCACTGCAAATTAACAGTCCAAACACAGAGGTGAATCGTGCTTTAAAATACAGCTGGAAATTTTCCACTGTACCCAAACAGGATGAGTCCTGTCTGGAAGCTGCTCCCTTAACACAAGTCACTTGAGTTGGAGGAGAAAAGCATTGCAGATTAACACAATTTCCTGGGGAAAAGAGACTCTTTTCTTCCAGCTAAACTTAACAGCTGCAGTAAGGCATCAGCAACCTATCTGGAAATTTTGGACTGATTGCTTATGTGATTTGATTATGGACATTTTCTCCACTTGTTGTTGTATTATTCCTATCAAGTCAGTTACCAAAGTTTCTCTGATTCAAATTTATTCTTTCCGTCCTTTCCCTTCACACTACTCTGCCATTACTTATCCTTCCTTTTCCCCTTCCTACCTCTTCTCAATTGTAGCAACTTCCTATTTCCAATAGTTTGAAAGACCGAGGTATCAATGTTTGTTAAGAAAAAACCCACTGTAGACCGCCCTCCCCCCCCCATCTAAGCCTTTCTGTTTATGTTACTTTCCCATTTGGCCTTCTGTTTCTAAACTGTAAGCTTCCTGGGGCAGGGACAGACATTCACTTTATGTTTGTATTAAGTATCTCCAAAAATAGGATTCATCTTGCCTAGGCCTAAAGGCATTATTGACACATGGATATTAAAAGTATCGTGTTTATACACTGTAAATAATGTCATGTAAGCAATGTTATGTAATGTTGAATTGCAGTTACCACCACATACCTTACTAAGGGAACAGTGAAAAATAACCTCCAGTAATTCTTCCTGAAAAAATATGAAAAACAGAAGAAGCGAAAAGGATAGTATGATAAACCATGCTGACAACACTCCTATGCTGCTTACAAGCACACATGTCAAACTGCCTTGACGATTACTGAATACAGTACTGGCCCCAGACTGGGGTCCCACGGTGTTTGTTCTGGTTTTTGTGTCACTTGGTGTTATTACATATTTTAAATAGCGTTGGTTTAGCTACCTGCTTTATTACTCATATAAAGCTATAGTAAAATGTAGGATATGACTGCAGAGCTCAGTGTTGCACTCCTGCCAGGCTAACTCCAAAACAAGATGCTGTAGAGGTGCGTCATCAGGGTGCTCCACCAAGGCTAATTGGCTCTGCCCCGCAGCTGGGCAGCCAGGCCACCGGGAGCAGGCACCATGCTGAAGGGGATGGTCTGCTCCCAGCACCCAGCTCAGCAGTCAAGTGTCTCTGCAGGACCTGGAAGTAGGAGCAGGCAAGATGATAGACCCATCTCACTTCAAAGACTATGAAATAGCCTACTGATGTCTATGCAAAACATCGGGACACAGAGATAAGATCTACTTCTCTTTTATCCGAGGGACCTCTTGAAGTGAGATTCCAGTCCAGCTAGACACAGTGGCCTTCTTGTTCATAAATTGCTATGCTTCAGTAGAGTTACATGGACGGCAACGTGATCAGAAATTGTGACAAATTGGGTCTAATTATTACCTTGTGGCTTAATGGCATCACTCAAATAAAGGCTAATTTATTTCAATGGACCCAGTTGTGACCTCACACAAATAAGAATCACAAAAAACTGCACGGAAGCAGGAGAATTACACAGCTGTAAGCCCATCTTACACTGGAGTTCAGAGATAAACCAGTGTAAAACTCATTTAAGTAACAAAAAACAGGTGCAATATATCTACCATATATCTGAACTTACTAAAATAGAAATCTATACTGAATATTATTTGAGGTAATCGCTTTGGGTCACACCCAGTGAACGTCACTCTGTTTTTACTTAGCCTTCCTCAGATAAAACTTCCACAGAGTAAAGAAAGCAGGATTAAGACAAATGATTCCGTGAAATCATTAGCTTCCCACCACAGACACAAGTCAGACACGTGTAAGAATAAAAAGCCAGTTTGGCAAGATACTATAATGCCAAGTCACGTCAGTCAGGTTGTAATAACTTCTAATTAACATTCTTCCAAGTTCCAGTATTGTTTATTTGCATGTCAGTGTCACTCAGAATAAGATACTCTTTCTTGCCTATGAAAACCTCAAAGAAAACTGAAAGAAAAAATTGCACCCTCATCTGTGTAAACAGAAATCCAGCTGATATATAAAAGTGAGGGCTGAACTTGACAACCCGTGATGAAAACAGCTTTAGAAATGAGAAGGCTGATATACTTATGCCCACTGATAAAAAAAGCATAGATAAGAATTATGACTACTGAAGTCATAATTTCTAGGCCTTATTTTGATCATGTTTATGCCAATGGCAAAACTCGCACCACCTTCAGTGGCTTGATACTGCCTTGCCCCTGAAAACGCTCCCTTTTGAAACATGGAGCAGCCCTGTTCCGTAGGGACTACAAAGGGCCAATGCAAAAATCAGGAGGGTGAGCCTTCTAGCAGGCTCAATTAAAAACTGAAGTCTTCAAATTGAGATTGGGAACTGACTGATATTGCAATAGCCATATACGCAATATTATTTAAGGGGAGTTGCTTCAGAACCGAAGTCATGAAGGCAGTTCTAGTGACAATCTGAATCTACCGCAACTTACTGTTATTCAAAACGCTCGTAACTAAAAAAATTCAGGCCAAATATCCATAGGGTTTGTTACATACATTAAAGTGTTTATGATTCAAACTAATGTTGAGAAGTATATAGGATACATATAGGTAAAATGATAAAAACATTTAAGATCTTGAGAATCATATCTAAAATTGTCATGTCTATGACAAACTTAACTTATGTAAAATAGCACAGTCAATTTATAGTATTTATTTATAATATTTATAAATATTATTTTATGTATATGATATATATGTATTTATAGAATTATTTTAACATAATAGCGGGCATATATATGTTTTGTTAACAATATTAATCAACATTTGTTAACAATATTGATTTACAATGTTATTATTGAACCAATGATAAAAGTGAGTAAGTACATAATATATTAGTTCTGTGTAGAAGAGATATCACGGATGTTTTAGCATCTAACTTCCATACGACTATAATGAAGCTATAATGTGTTGATACCAAACACTTTAAGGCTTGACTGCATGGTAACGCTTTTGTAACAATAAAATAGGTGATCCTAAGCCTCTTCTCAATGGTGAAATGATGTTACCATAACATTGTCTGAGAAGGTATAACAAGAATTTATTATGAGATAAGAGACCTTAAAAATTTAATGGAAAAGGAATGGTTTCAGGAAATAAAAGAGCATACCTAGAGTTTTAAGAGAGCTTTATTTCCACGGTGGGATATCTGACATCTGTCATTTTTCTTGTTTTTACCAAGGAAAAGGGATTGTGGGAACGATGAAAAAGTGCTGGTGGTTTTGTACGTTTAGAATGCTTACTGTATTTAATCAGTATCAGTCATTCAGTTTAATCAGTTATGAAGCTTAAATCTTGTTTCTTGCACCAGTGCAGGTATCGTAACATCTCTATAAGAAGTTTAGTAATTTGCATATTGTAAAGCAACAGAAGCAATCAAGCAGCAGTGGCCACCTTTTATTTTGCCATCAACTGCATATGTGAGAATCTTCCTAGGTCCAGTAGCCCCAAGACACATACCTCAAAGAACCAAGAGTCCGGAGGGCTCTGGGACCAGCTTCCAGGTAGGAGACAGTAGATCTACGTCCTCAGAGATCCTTAGATGTCATCCTAGGATCTTCCCTGAGAATCTCCTCAGAGATCTCCTGCTTGCTCAGGTGACCTGGCACTGTTGGCCTCAGCAGCCCTTCCTGGCTAGTTTTCTCCCACAGCTGAGTATTAGGAACATAGTGACAGTGACAGGATGGCTCCAACATGGGAGTCAGGTTTGAACAAGCTGTGAGCAAGGCACAGTTAGCGAGCCACAGGTTGGCCTCCTGACGATACGGGAGTAGGTGTTCAACCGGCGTAACTCGGTGTGTCTGTCAACGGCATGTTGGCACCTTCCTCCCATGTCGACACGATTGGCATTTTCAGATCTATCATTTAAACTGTAAATATAACCATTATCACAAGTCTCTGCTTTTCTGACTCTGTTTTCTGGTCAGAATTTACCTCTTTTAACTTTAGTCACCTGAAAGTTAGTGGCTTAGTGTAATATAGGTGGACTAGGCTCCCCCTAATGTCAATGGAGAAAGACACCAGAAGTTATTCATCCTGTTCTAAGATAAGTATCTATGATGAATCACCTTTGTAGGTGCCTGAATCTTTCCAGAGGAGGCCTAGAAAAATAGCTTAAGCTAGGTGCTTAATTTACAGATGTATTGAAGCAGGTGAGATGAATGCCATGCCCTGTTCTTACAGTTCTACCAAGGTTTTTCCTGCTAGTACTGTTGTTACCACAATAACAGCAAAACAGATTAAATGCATCAAACTACCTACTTTCCATTTGTGTCAATGCTTCTGGTAAAATGGAGTTCATCTTGTTCAGCTGTGTCTTCGGCACTACACTCCTAACAACACATGGGGATTCTTTTGGCTCCAGGGACAGGGCCTTTGTTTCTAGGAGAGAAAGCCTGAGATCATCTCAGAACGTACTGTGAGGCTTTGAGAGGTGACATCATGCAACAGAGCAACAGTTAAGTACTTTCAGGTGGCAGGTTTAATTCATAATTCTAGGTTCCAATTGTGAAAATGTGGTAAATAGCACTGCCCACAGAAGTAAGTCTATGTGTGCACTGAAATATTTACAAGACCAAGCCTTTATGCTAATTTTAAAAATCTTCCTTTTCCTCTTTCCAGTGTGAACTACCTCCCACTGTGCCTTCTAGATCTTGTGCTATCTAGCAGGACACAGTGCTCTCTTGGACGTGGCCTTCTGAAGGAGTGTTACTAAATAGGGGATGTTCAGATAGAAGATGTTAGTATTTATAGAAAACTACCAATGAGTTAGAAAACTTTAGAGACATAATTGAGTATATTGTATCAACATGTGCTGATAGATAAAAATAGGAATGGCAATATACAGGCTGTCTTTCCTATTAGTCAAACTGGTAATGAGTAACGTAGCCTAATGCATGTCAGAAAAGCCTCCATACCACTGTGCTTCATAAACCCTCCTGGCATTCTTTAAGACAGAAGCCACAAGAGCATAAAGGTTTAATTCTCATGTATTTGAAATGACAACATTATTTGTGAGGCAAAAATTTAAATAAGTTACATTGCTCACCTCAAACAAATGTCAGTAAAGGACTATCTCCACCTATATTCCACAGGTCGTACCCTCTTCAAAAAACAAGTATTTTAGAAAATTTGGGGAGCATTAAGTTTTCTATTTGAGAAATCAGCTTGTTGCAGTACCATGAGCCCGAGTATATTAGTCAAAGACAAAAACATTAAACTATAAGAGATTAGGAGCCTTTGGAAAAGGATCTGAATAAACTCTTCTGGAAGCCATAAAGTGTAAAGGTCATAAGGTTAATGTCACATGGGTTTAATATCTTACAGCTTGCTGTTAGCCATAGAAAAACTTTTGTCTTGACTGGTATCCTTCTGAGAGCTTGAGTGATCAGACTTCAATGCTGTTTTGCCATGACTCCATTTCCCCATCTTGGATCTCTGGTCAGTATAGTTTTGGAATGACATTCTGTCTCAAGCATGGAAAGGAAGTATTTTTGTGCTGGGTTATTGGCGGTGCCTTGTGGTTTCTACTTAAGTAGCTATTTGAAACTTTATGACATCTTGAAATATGAGTAGCGTCAGAGTTGATGCACTGGAAAAGAGTCACAAATTAGGTGAAGTGGTGAAGATTTTTTGCCATGTAAATGTATGGAGACATATGAGGGAATCTTTTCTCTAACTTTGCAGCTCTTTATTTCTGACGTATGTAATACTCAACAAGAAGGATGGAAAAGTTTGTGGGGAAAGGTATATTTTAAGCAAAGATACAGTTTCAGCAAAAATTAGTGATTTCCCTTAAATTAAGGGAAACTTAAATAGCAGCGTGATGACGTCCTTATGAGACTAACCTTTAGTCTCTTGTCCAAAACAAGCGCAGATGTTCTGGCAGTTCACTCTTCTAAATGCAGACTTGGGAAAATCATATATTCCCTGATTAAGAAGGAAAAAAAAATTACTAAGTAATCCCTGGGCTCCAAGAAGCTATTCACATGCTTAATGTTTAGATATAATCTGCTTGTCATTACGTAATAATTTCCCCTCTCCGCCCATTCCAGAGTGGCTATGATACGTACAGTCCACATGCCCAGTCTTGAATTTTTCGTTCCAGGTGTGAGCGCTCGCTGCCGTTATGTATAACCCTCTAGAGAAAACAGAACCAGAGAGAGCCGACTAGTTTACATGTCATTCTGGGAGAGACGGGACCTCATTTGATGGCGAGGCAACAGAAAATACGGTGTTACCCCACTCGGGGTCAGGCTCCAGGAGCTATGTGGGAGTTGGCAGACACAGTTAACGATCCTGAAATAACAATTGCCTTGAGAGCCAGCGCTCAGCAAAAGGCAGGGGAGCGGCCCACAACTAGGAAAAGTTAAATAACTGCAACAATAGAAGGATAAATCTAATCTTGCACAGAAACACTGATAACCCATCTGAGCTCTGGATGTGAAACCTACACATTAACGTTAAGGAACACAGACTATAGGGGACACTCTAAACAATAGGCCTGGAAAGCCACCAGCCATAGAACAAAGCCGCTGCTGGGCTTTTCTGTGCAATACGAACCACGATTGGCTCTCAGCTCGTGTAACACAGAGCGGTCAAAATGGGATTTAATCAGTGTTGGAGAGAACATGTATATGGATCAACATGTAGAAGAAAAACAGCAGTCCGAGCACGCTGCTATTCTGTCAAGCGTGGAAATATCTCTTTAAAGTGCTGACATGGTGGCAGACCATTTTTCCAAATCCTGGCTACACATAACAGGCTAATACATCGCAAAATGTCTGATATACCACAGTGTACACAGCCAGACTTTGCAGGCTGATATCTAGGATAATCCCAGAGAGATAAATCATGCATGCAAAGCAAGTCTGACATGTCAGGTTCACGGCATATACTATATTGTCTTGCTGTACATGCTGCATCAGAGAAGTTGCACAGTGAGTACAAGTCTAGCATCAATTTCTTGTACATGCATAATTTATCTGCCCATACAGATAAATACAGCTTCTCCCAGTATGTGGTGGCCTGCGTTGTCAGGCATCCAGGAAAACACCTATGACAAGAGAAACATAGGAAAAGCCATGTTCTGTGCGCTCTTCATATAAGAAATTGTATTGATCACGTTAAGATGACACATCCTATGTCAAACAGGATATTCCACGCTATATGGGATCTTCAGAACTTACTGACGTTAATTTTTGTTAGCATGCCATGTGGTAATTGCCCAGGAGAGCGCAGGGGTCAACGTCAGTCCATATGTACATGACTTTGGTGGACAGAAGACAGAACGTGACTACCCAATACTTAATTATGTTATGACAATAGTGCTAATGCCCATATCCCTGCCACGCAAGAGCTCATCTAAAAGAGAACACACTGATGCACTGATGTTGCCTAAAAGTGCCCCACTGAAGCTTTGGGACACAGTATCAGTAACCTCAGGCAGAGACATGACAGCTGAGTCACCAATATTGCTCCCTGCATACTATGGAGTGTATTCAGAGTCACAGAAAAACTAAAGTTGGAGGGAATATCAGCTGGTCTCCCTAATTTGGTGTCATCTGCAAACTTGCTGAGGGTGCATGCTGCCCACCTCCCAAGCCATTGATGAAGATGTCAGACAGGACTTGCTCCAGTATTGCTCCCTGAGGACCTGTACTCCTATCTGGGCCTGAGTCAGACTTCAAGCCATTAACCAACCTCTATCCTTTGAGCCTGGTGGTACAGCCAGTTTTTCAGGCACCTCGTCGTCTGCCCATCCCGTCCCTATCTCCCCAGTCATAAGGTTAGTGAGGAAGACTGTATCGGAAGTCATAAGAAAGTCAAGCCTAGATGGCATCCTCTGCGGCCAAGCTTCGGCTTTCCAGATTGCACTTCTTTAACTTAAATACCGATCACCCTCTGCATGAACTGATGGAATCGCTGCCCAGTGTAGCTTGTATACAAATCCTCTATCTATTGAATGCTTTCTAGAAATGCTATTTAAGGAAGGTGGTTGTTTTTCATCCATACTTCATGTTTTGAAGGTTGCAAACATATGCAGCTGCCTGTTCAAGCATTTATGTAGTTGGTACTGTGGAAAAAGCCAGTTCTAAGTTCTTCTTTCTTCCTTTGTTCTTTGTTGTTAGTTGGTTTGTTTCCAGTAACCTCAAATTTGGTGAAGAAAAGTGTACACACATACACCTGATAGGAGGGAATCAAACTATTCATTACCTTTATCATGCAGCTTTGACCACTAATCCATCTCTCCAGGACCTTCTCTAATATTTTCTAATATTTCAAATCTGCCTAAGCAGCTTTAAATGATTATCATCAAAAAACCCAGCGTCTTAATGAGAGAATTCCTTCCTATTATTCAGATCTGGACTTCCTGCTCGATCCTACTCTAAAGCAAAATGGGGGAGGGGAAAAAAGAGAGAGAGAAATTAGTCAGAGTTTTATTAGTTGTAGTTAACACATACATGACAATTCAAGGGTGATTTTTTTTTAAACTCACCAGACCAGAAATGGAAGTTTTTTTTGCTCTGAAAAAAAGGGCATTTCCAGCTTTCCTAGAAGATAAGAACATTCATATTTAGTCGAGAACGTCCCAAGACAGCTTTCTTACCTGTTAAGACGGCATTTACTCAACAAATTCTGTATTTGGTCATTTTATTGGTGTTTTCTTTTATACGTAATAACTTGTCTCTTCAGTCTTCTCAACTTTCACAATAACTAAGAAGTGTTTCTGAAACGCTTTTCTATTAAATGTGTGGCTTTATACAATAGGAAGTTGCTCGAATTGCCATATAGTGAGTACTGTACATACTCTTGTGTGGTTATCTACTACCTCTGTACTTCAGTAATACGGTTAGTGATATCATGACCGCTATGGTCAAGGTCGAGAAAAATCTGTCTTTAAAATTCCTCTTCTGAGTGTTTATAACTTAGCCAATTTTCATGGCTGAACTGTTGCTTTTATTCTCTAATTTGGGGAAACGTTGAAGATATCAGAATATAATGAACACACACTTCTGTTATTACAATCAAGTCCTCACTCTGTCACGAGTGGGATGTGTTTTCCATTGAACAGTTGCTTCGTCTAATTGCTCAAAAAGCTGCATGCTTATTTGGCCTGTCATTACATTTGTTGTGCCTCGAAAGGGCGGGGAATAGAATTAGGTTCCAAACCAGGGCTCAGCTGAGCACACAGTTGCACAGGCCAGTGCCACTGCCCCTTTCCTTGCTGCAGGATAGGGATAGCTGCAGGTCTGCTAGCCACAAACCTGTCTTTCAGGACCCCCTTCCTGGTGCCTAGTAAAGATTTGGGAGACAGATGGGGAAAAAAAAAAGAGGAGCTAATCCAGGAACTCTCCATGTGCAGGCACACGTCTGGCCTGGGGGTCGGACTCATTCTCCTTCTACGTCTTTATGTCAGCTGGGATCCTGAGAAACTTTGAGATGTCACGTCCTTGCTCTAGACCTCCTTTCTCATAGGAGCCAGGGGCATGCGCCATTCCAACAATACTGAGCTTCTCCCTCCAGCTCTTTGCGTTTCTGCCAGGATATTTCCTCCCTCAGGGAAGGAAATGAGGCAAGAAGGGGGTGTAAGGACTTTCATGGTGATTAACAGAGCGATATGTACCCCTGAAAGGTCATGCTTCAGGCTCCTGTCAGCTCCAAACACTGCTCTCACTCACCTGAGAATACTTCCTTGAGATGAGCGGTGCACATTGCTACTCTGTGAGATGCCTTTATGCCACAAATGGGTGTACAGAGCCACTTCCCCATATGATGTTGTCCAGAGATAGTAAAGGGATTCTACATTTATTTCATCGTAAATGTGCTCTTCACAGACTCATCAGCTTCCTTCCTCCTTTCAGCTGCTCCACTCTGACTGAAGTAGGGAAGGAGTCAGTGTGTGGGAGCAGCAGGCTCCACGCAGGTAATCAAAGCAATGCCTCTGATGCGGGAACGCCAGCATCTCCAGGCAGCACGGGCCCAGCACGGCAGCGTAAGCAGCTAGAGGGATAATGGAACAAACTGGTATGATGGGAAGGGATGCAGGGGGTTTTACCCGCCCCGGACACTGAGGTACAGGGCAGTGAGAAACAACAGGCAACTTTATCTCCTTGAAAACCCTAGTCACAAATGCTTGCTCTTTTGAGTTTGCTTTTGTAAGATGTCTCTACGGACTCCATGCTTCTCTGTGTACTGTTCCTGCAGTCTTTACCCTAATCTTTGAATTATAGATTCAATGATGGCACCTTGGGAGGGGGAAGACTGCGGAAGATGAACCAAACTGTGATGAAAAGGCAGGGTGATGGAGATGAGGGGAATACGGCAGCGGTGAAGTGGTTAAAACATGAGAAAAACATTCTCTAATAATAGCTGGTGAACTAGAAGACGCAAAATGGAAGCACTCCTCTCTGTCTGGAAGACGGATGCTGGATTTAATCCTACAGCCACACCCGGGCAGAGTTCAGACACAAATCTCCTTCCAACCTTTCCCTCAGGTTTATGAGCACTTCAGCTCTTACAGGTTGAACAGCTTTTGAGGTCTCTCAGCAGGGCCAAGGTACAGTACCTAGTTCAATTGCTCAGGCCTCCGGCAGTCTCATCTTCTCTGGTTTCATTCCCCTCAAGGAGTTTTGCCTCTTCACAGTCTTTTTCACTGGTCTTGGCCCAGTAGTTTCCCCGCAGTCAGACGACTTCAAAGCTGCACTCTGAAGAAAGCAGTATTGTCAAAACTTACCATGTTATCCTGAGCTGGTAATATTCTGTGTTTTTAAAACCTCTGCTCTCAAAGGCAGATGATTAGATGTTAATCTCAGCTTTCATTAAGAAAAAATAGCTTTGCTATTTCCCTCTGGCTTTTGGAGAAAAGCTTGAAAATAGTAAAGAGGAAAATTCCAAGCTCTAAAGCCAAATAAAAATGTTCAACATGTTACTTTTAAATACATCAAGATTTCACTCGTGCCGTAACTTCTGAACGGACTTGGTTTACGATTTCGGGTCCCGCTCTGTCGCACGGGGAGGACGGAGAAGTCTCCGAGCACAGCCTGGGACCCAAGTACCCCACGTCCCAACGCCTTCGCGCCGCAAAACCCCCACCTCGCGGGACGCGACCGTCTCCCCACGGGGACGCACCTCGCTCCACTGCGAAAGACCTGACCAACAGCGGATATAAAACCTGTCAGTACCCCAATCCGGGCAGCACCGGGATGCTCCTCCGTTGGGTATTTCTGCTTGAGTATTTCTGCTTTAAAAAAAAAAACATAAACAAAACAAAAACAAACAAAAAACCCCCCCAGATTGCTTCAGGAAACTACAGTAATCCTCCTCTGCCCCCCCGTTCACCTTCGCTACCTTGAAGGCACAACTAATTCCCTCACAGCACGGGCTGGCGGCACATCCTACCGGGGGCGACCACCCCTCCCCGCCCGCCCCCCATATAGGGCGCACCTACAGGCCGTGCCCGCTGCCC